GAGCTGATAGGCAGGAAACAGGAACCCAAATAACTGCTTGTTACAGACAAAATTACTTAAGGACCGCCTCCTGTGGTCACATGACTCACAGCTGGTTTGTTGTTTGTCTGTTGTTGTGAAGCCGCCACCCTCTCTTAGCTGGTTGTTCACCTGTTCACAGCGGACATCAATCAGACACAACGCACACTGGGGGTGACATCACAGAGCTCCGCCCTGGAGGACAGGTGAGACACCTCCTTTATTTTCTCTCAGTAATATTGCTGACATCACAGTGACATCACGGCTCCCCTTCCCTCAGTGACATCACAGCCCGCTCCCTCTCAGGTGAAGTCCTCCAACTGGAAGAGATTCTTCAGCAGCTGCAGCTCGACCTGCTAAAGGTAAAGCGCATTAAACTGATGTCATGGAGGCAAGCGGATGACATCATCGCATTGACTTGTGTTGTGTTCAGGAGCAGCGGGACAAAGCTGTGCTGCAGCAGCAGGTGCTGAGCCTCCGTCAGGAGAACCACCGCCTGCAGGAGGAGGGTCACAGCGCCGCCAAGCACATCAGGAGGTTCGCCGCCTGGATGCTGCGCCAGGATTCGTTACCATAGTAACACCACTAGCATTTACTGACCATTCAGCACTGTGTCACATGACACGCAGCGGATCGTGGTGACGACGAAGAGTTTGAACCGTGAGCAGAACAATCGATCGCTAAATCGATTGCTGAACAGCACGAAGCAGCACGCTGAATGAAGATGAGGTGATCTGATGGGATCAGTCACAGCTGACCGGTCTCGTCAGTCCTCCTCGGCTACCTGGAAGTAGGCGGAGCCTCTCTGATTCTTGAGTTAGTGAGTTAGTCGCAGCATGAGCTGACCCCCGTGCGCATCCACCTCTGTCAGCATCGGAGCAGCTGGCGACGCAGATGCGCAGATGTTTGAGGATGTGTTTTCTCTTCAGACTGTGAATCATACAGATGTTTGATCCAAGCTGAATCAGCTGATCCAGAATCAGCTGATTTATCCAAACTCTTCTTTCATGTGCAGAGATCCTGCTCTCTTTCTGCTGTTACGTGTCTTTATTTTTATAAAGGTTTACATCAGAATTTCTTTTTTGGCCTAGTTTTCCTGGAGATGATGTGATTACTGTAATTACAGCAGCATTCACAGATAGAAGGTTCTTACTCGGAAACATTTTTATCGTCGATCGTCTTTATATTTTATATCTGTATATAAAAAAATATGTATTTCACTTGATCAGCAATGAGCAGCCTGAGGAGGCGCGTGTGTTTAAGCTGGCTGCAGGCCTGATGTGGATCAAGGTGAGCAAAGGTAAACGTGTAGTGGGCCCTGAGCGGTCACATGACCGAGCGTCCGGGTCTGTGGACTTCATAAACTCGGTGGGGCTTCAGGAGGAGCTGCCGATCAGCTGCCAGAGGCCGCCCCCTGGTGGAAGCAGCTGTGTAATAAAAACCCAGTTTGTTCACCATGGCAACAGTAAATCTTTACACTTTATTTCTCTGATCATAATAAACATTGGAAACAGTGATGTCACCAATCAATAATCAGTACTGTCAGATTTGTCGTCAGCTGCAGATCAGGTGTGTGAGCGTGCTCAGTAGCGAGTCGAGAACCCGTGGATCTCTACTTTGGAAATGTCTCGCTCGTTGGAGAACACGGCTCGATCAATTCGGGAACTCGGACTGCCGACGCTCTTCAGCCAGTGCTTCCTGAGGAAGAGGAGGAGGAGGAAGAGTGCAGTTAGTACATTCAGGGTATTTCTCAGTGACCTCTGACCCCGCAGTGAATAAAGAACCACTGTGCTCCTCTTCATCACGGTGAGGTCACCTGACAGAGACACAGCCCACGCCACTGGCATCACTTAGTAGGAGGGGCTTAATTGTGTTTAAAGAGTTCAGGTTATATCACAGGACAACACGAGTGGGTGGAGCCATTTCACAAACTACACACTGACACCTCTTTAGCCCCTCCCATCACACCAGTGAGTGACAGAGTTGTGGCATAAAGAGTTTGAGGACCTGCTTGATTTTAATGTAAACGTCTGATGTCACAGGTGTGACAGGTGAGAGTCATGTGATTGCATCAGAGCGCTTCACTGCCACACACAAGTAGGAGAACTGTGGCCCCGCCTCTCTGAGTATGCTCCTGCAGCTCCTTGCTCCTCAGTCCTCCTCCTGCTCTGTGAGGTCATAGCCAGGTCACAGGAGGAGGCAAATGAGGACAGCACAGAGCTGCAAAGCATTATGGGAGCTGTAGTACTGCACTGACATTTTCAAATAAAAATCCATTAAAGGATATATCTGTGTGTGTGTGTGTGTCTGTCTGTGTGTGTGTGTGTGTGTGCGGAGGCTCTGATTGGTCAGCCAGACTCACATGTCACTGACTTTGTCCCACGGTCCCTGGACCTGACCAATCACGGTGCCCTGTCTGGTGTTCTTCACCCAGCCGCTGAGCCCCAGACTGCGCCCGTGATCCTCCGTGTACTGGCACACATTCACAGGTGTGTGCGTTTAGTCATGTGACACGTTTCCACGGTACATACTGATCAAAAACAGCAGTAATGTGAAGGAAAAGAGGAAGCTCACCATCCTGAAGCACACTCCTGAACACGGAGAACAAACACAGGGTCAGCGAGTAAAACCTCAAAAAACACACAAACTCGCCGTCACGTGTCAGGCGACCTACCCTGCACGTTCCCGAAGACCTCAAAGTCCACGGAGACGAGTCTGTTTTCAGCCATGATGGCGTGAAGGAGACAAAGTAAAAGCACACACGGAATCATGTTTGCGCAGCGAGATATTTTTATCTCTGATATTTAAACCTCTCTCAGAAGCCTTCAAAATAAAAGCATCACTCTTGACTGGTCACAGTCATGGTGATCTTTATTTTGAAGGGCGTTCACAGTTTAGTTATACTATAGAACAAAGTAAAATTCACATTTCCATGACTTAGCTTCCTCGCTGTCGTGAAACAGTGAAGCTGCTTCCTGTCCAAACATCAGGAAGTAACCGTGTAAACGTGACCACGCTCACGCCACTGAATGTGACGGCTTGGACAGGTGAGGACTGGTGGGCCAGAATAAAAACACACGGCTTGTTTCTCGTCAGTCTGATTTTATTCAAAGACTTGTGAGTCACAGACAAACAGGCCAATGGGAGGAGGGGGCGGAGCTTCAACATCTCAGGTGTCACTCAACCTTGCTCTTCTTCACAGCGCCAGGTAACTTATCCTGCAGACTGAAAACAGACACAGGACGCTTGTCAGCTGCTCGTCTGGGCAGAATAATGTGAACACCTGCAGATTAGAGGTGGGCTCATCTGTGTTGACGTGGAAACTGAACATGGATGAATCAATCAGCAACCTGACGGTGAACTTTACCTATAGACAGGTGACAGTATGAACACACTGAGCATGCTCAGTTCAGGCCGACTCTTCATAAAGGTAGAACAGGTGGAGCCTTTGTAACAGAGCTCACCTGGTTCAGTTAAGACAGACAATGAGTTTAGATCTGAGGTCAGCATGTGCACAGGTGAGACAGACGGCAGTTACCTGTGGACCATGGACACCTGAGACAAACATTACAGGTGCTGCAGAAATGAAGGTCAGATTGTCACCTCTGACCTCAGTGAGGCATTTAGATCAGAGTTGACCTTCGGTGAGGTCAAACATGATGAACACCTGATTACCCGTGACCTCACCTCTGCAGAGTTTCCTCCAGTTTGAGCCGAACAGCCTCAACGTGACGATCGATCTGAGCCTGAACACAGAAACACACTCTGAGCTAAACACGGACAAACTGGGCAGAAGACGGGGACACCAGGTGTGTCTTTACCTTCTTCTTCTGGTAGATCAACGGCGTAGTGAAGAAAATGATGTCAGCTGCACACAGAGGGACAACCAATCGGAGATCAGAAAGACTGATATTTAACTCGCTCAGAGGGAAACAAACTCACCAAGGATCAAGATGGTGACGCCATTGAACACGGCACCAACGTACGTCATCACCCAGGTGACGGCCGCCAGCTGAAACACGTAGAACAAAGACATGGACCAAACACACAAACA